TCTGTTGAATGGGAGTGTGCCCACACAGAGCCTTGTTAAGAACTCTTCCAGCTTTATCCCCATGGATGCTGTTGGTTCCTGGTCGGGATACTTGTCTTGTTATCAAGTTGACTCCGCTCAATCAAAACAGCCAGTAGGGTTCAGAAAAGCAAATCCTTTGCTTCTATACTGACTGGTGTTAAATATTGTTGAAGGCTCTTTTGAGACAGGCCTTGAACTCGCTTTGTAGCTGAGGCAGATGCATTCGAGTTTCTGATCCTCCTGCCTCCCTCTCTAGACTGCTGGGCTTCACGGGCATGCGCCACTACGCCCAGCTTTACGTGGTCCTGGGGTCAAACCTGGCTTAATTCATGCACTTTACCAGCCCAGCAACACCCCCAGCCCATAGCTCTTCTCACACAGTTTCTTTGAACCATCTACAAGTCCTGCAATGAAATCATGTATGTAGTACACACTGTGCTCACCAGTATTGTGTTTCGGTCATTGCCAATAGCTAACCACACAGCACACAGGACACCTTTTGCCTGACTTGTCTCTGCTCTGCTTTTCCTCGATTGTCAAAAATCTGCTTCATGAATGGGCTGCAATATGCTTGTCCCCTGTGGCACTGTCATAGCTCACTGTGGTCAGCACTGGAGAAGGCTGGTTCCCTTTGGAGAGGCACCAATGGAGTGCTCTGCCTTGTCCTCAGGAGGCCCGGGCAAGTGCTCCATCCTGGTCAACCTTCTCTGGCACAGGACTCCAGCTGTCTTGTCACCGTAACACATCCTGGGCTGACTCCAAGTGGCTTCCTTCAGACATTCAGTCCCTCCCTGTCTTCTTAGTCCCAAAGCAGCTGGTGTTTGTAGGAAGGCTGGCCATTTTCTCACCCCGTGAAGAACTTGGCGCTTTTTGACTGCTGTTCACTGTTCTGAATTCAGGACCATCCTATCACACGTGAGTCACCCTGCACCTGCTGTAGGGATTCAAAACAAACAGGGACATCAGCCTACAGGTTTGAGAGTAGATTAATTCCCATCATTCTGTTCTGCCTTCCATTGTCACTGGAGGACTACAGGGGAGAAAGAGCAGGACCAGGGGCAGTGGTTAATCTAGATTTAAACCCTGAGCTCATTCCTTTTCCGGGGAGATGCAGCAAAGTTCCATTAACTTGCTTTGAGATCTCTGTCATGGTGTCTCTAACACATGCCATCATAGAACTTGCCTTAGGCTGCTTAAAAACAAACAAGTTGGGTTAGTAATGGTCAGGAAGGGCTCAGGATCCACTGCTTGTCAGGATGCTGGTAGGTCTACTGTGTGACTCTAGGCAGGCAGGAGCCAGCTGGTTCTCAGGAGACACGTGCAGGTGTCGTTGATAAGTGAACGTAGACAATGCCAATTTAAGGTGGCTCAGCTTGGGGTTTTCGACTTCATAATGGTGTGAAGGCCATTTGATAGACACCCACTTCAAATTTTAAATTTTGAATTCAAGCATTCCCTGAGCTAGCAGTGTGAGTAATGGCAAGGAGCAGAAAGACCCAGTCAGCATTTGTCACCCCAAGATCAAACAACCAGTCCTCTGCAGTGAGCTGTGTTGCTCTCTGTAGGGCGGGTTCAGCAAATGCATTTTCAGCTTACCATACTCTTTAGCTTACAGTAAGTTTACAGGAAACCATTGTAAGCTGAGCAGCACTGTGGCTACACATTCTGCCGCCAAAACTCCCTGAAGCCCTGAGATGACACAGCCCCTAGATACAAATGAGGATGCTTCAGGAAGAGGCAGAGGAAAACTTGTGGTCCAGGTCTGGTTCCAGTCTCAGGTTTCTGCCTGTGTTTGTCTGGCTAGTTTGTTGTCATTGTTGGGGGTTTTGTTTGTTTGTTTGTTCGTTCGTTCGTTCATTTTTGGTGGTGGTTTTTGTCTTTTAATCAAGTTGCCAAAAACCTAGAGTCATCTGAGAGGAGGCAACCTCAAATGAGAAGATGCCTCCATAAAATCAATTTGTAGACAACTGATGTCCTGAGGGCCCAGCCCATTGTGGGTGGTACTGCCCCTAAGCATGTGGTCCTGGTGGAATAAGAAAGCAGGCTAAGCCAGCCTGAGGAACAAACCAGTAAGCAGCAGTTCTTCATGGCCTCTGCTTCAATTCCTGCTCTGAGTTCCTGTCCTGACTTTCCGCAGGGATAGAGTCCGACCTGACAGCTATAAACTGAAACAAACCTTTTTCTTCACAAGTTGGTTTTGGTCGTGGTGCTTTATCACAGCAGCAGAAACCTGAGACATGTCTCTTGTCTGGCCACAGGGGACAGAGCTCAGGCCTTAGAGCCAGCAAGCTGCCACCTGGGGTTGCAGCCCCAGTCTACCATCCCTTACGCTCTTCTTAGCTCCAAGGGCAGGTCGGGTGGTACAGACAGGCCCTTAGACCTCGGCAGCCAAGATCTACAGAGTGCTGTGGGTATCCTGAAGCCCCAGGTGAGGAAGCAGGCAATGGCAAGAACTCAGAGAGAATGGCCCAGAAGAGCAGATAGCCAACAGCTGGAAGGGGAGCAAGCTGGAATTTGGATGTTCCTGCAGCACCCAGAAGGGATTCCAGTCCATCTGTATAGAGCTCCATGGCTTGGGCTGAGGCAGAGACTCAGGAACGGGGAGTCCTCTGGAGAGGGGAAAACATTTTGTCCTCTCCAGCCCTCTCAATCTGTGCAAGACAGGAAATTCCTCAACCCTCTAGAGGCAGCCAGCTTTCCTGACCACGGCAGCCCAGGCAGGGACATGAGGTAGATCTGAGAGCTTCCAATACAGCTTCTACTTCCAGAGCCTCCTGCCAAGACCCTTCCAGCAGCTGCACTCCATCAAAAGACAATTCCTGAAGTTGGGGCAGACCGAGAACCCTACCTGGTGTCCTGGGGTGGATGGAGCTTGTCTGTCTTAGCTGCTCTTGCATGCCTGCTCCTTATCCTCCCTACTGCTCCCACTCTGGGGATGCTTTATTCAACCTTAAGAGCTTTATCCTTCCAGGGCCCCACAGGCTGGGCTAGGAGAGCGTTGCTTTCTGTGAACATGCTTTGAATTGGGCCTTACCCTGGTAGAGAAAAACACCCTGGAAACTCTCTGCAGTGTCCTTGAGTTTGAAAGGTTTGGAATTTGTTTCCCGATGGTGGTGGAGACCCAACCTACGAGAGTCCTCCTTGAAGCTTTGATGTTTAAATTAGACATATTCCAGTGCATTATTCTGGTTTCTGTTGTAACAAAGTTGGATATTTGTAAACTAAAGCGGTTTATCTTAGTTCCTCGCTCAGAAAGCATGGCACAGACATCCACAGAGGTCTTCACAAAGGCTTCATGCTCTGTCCAGTCATGGCTGAGAAGCAGCAGAAGTGGGTGCATGTCATAGTGGGTGCTAAAGACAGATCAGTGCAGGTTCCCCGCTCACATTAGAATGCCCCGCTCTCACGTCAACTAATCTAGTTCCATGAGAGCCAACTCACTCCTGAGAGAACTAATCCAGGAGCCAAAGAACTTGACCAATCGCTTGAAAAAGACTTTACTCCCTTCGTAGGGTGCTGTCTCCATGCCCTGATCGCCTCTCAGAGGGCCCCTTTCCAGTGCCTCCATACTGAGAGTGAAATTTCATTATGATGCCCAGAGATCACGTAGACCCTCACCTATCTCGGGCCCTGAGTTTGATACGCAGTACAAACGAAAAGTAATAATCTGATCTTGTTCACCCTGAATTTCAGTGAGTTCAAACCATAGCACCTGCCCTGCTAATCTTATGCCCGATAGTACCAGAAAAACAAAACAGCAAAAGTCTATACGAGAGGGTAGATACTGGGCAGCCTGGGGCTCAGCCTGCGTGTGAAGCAGACAGCATCTTTCCTCCTGGAGACTGGCTGAAGGAGTAAGGAAAAGCCCTTCTGTGAATCTGTCCCCTCAGCTGAGTGGGAAAGGATGGACCAGGCCCACACCCAGATCACTGCCCTGGTCTTCCCCCTTTATCAGCCAGCATGCTACCCTCTCCCAGATTTTACTGAAGTATTGCAAAAGTACAGTAAGCTACATGTATTTTAGGAGTTTAACTTAATGAGTTTTGGCAGACGTGTTCATCCATGGAACATTTACCCTGACTTGAAGAGTCAACAAACATTTCTGTTTCTCCTTAGTAGTCCTTAATGTTCTTTTCTGATCCATCCCCTACGCCCTGCTGCAGGCACCCACTGATAGGCTTTCTGTCTCTCTAGTTTGATCTGAGAGATGGGGCCTGTACGGTGAATCCAGAGCCTTAGTACATGCAGCCAAGGCTCCTATTCCATTACTGAGTCACAGTCCACCCTGTAGTTTTTGTTTCATGCTCTTATCCTAAGCTGGCCTCAAACCCACCATTCTCTTGCCTCAGTGTAGGGATTATAGATTTAGTTTATTTTTCAAAAAAGAAGAAGGAGGAAATGGGCTTGAGAGCAGAGGTTGGTAGTAGAGTATATATTTATGCATGAGATCCTAGATTTGATACACAGCACAAAAAAAAAAAAAAGAGGTAAGAAGGGGTAGGGAGGGAAAGAAGGAAGAAGGAATTACCCCCCTGTGTGTGTTGTAAACATATATCATGTCTGGCAAGTATAAGAAGAAACAGAACAGTTTTTGCTTCTGGAGAGACAGCACCAGGGAGCTAGGTTGGGAAGGGGTCTTTTGAATTCTGTGCCACTTAATTCGCTTAATTCAAAGACTAAAGAGAACTTAGGGGGAGAGAGCTTCATGAAGATGCCAGGTGTGAGCCTCCACCCTGAGGTCCTCCTGAGGAACCAGAGCTTGTTCGCACAGGACCCCGTGGAACTTCATTGTTTAGTCTCCCCTATCCGGCAAGAGCACTGTCATGTCAGGCAGTGACATGGGACATACCTTGTTCCCAGTGATCTCCAGAGCCTCCCAATGTGCATCAGACCCGAGCTTCAGTGCAACTGCATCATCTACTGTGTTTGTTGAGTGCCTGAAAGAATGTTTCTTTCCGGTTTTATTTTCCACCACACAGAAAAGAAAAGCGAAGGAGAGAGGGAACACCCGCTACCCCCAGCTCCCAGCAAGTCCGTCGCACCCATCTTCCTGCAAGGCCTCTCTGATCTCAAAGTCATGGATGGAAGCCAGGTCACTATGACAGTCCAGGTGTCAGGTCTGTCCATATAGCTCTCTCCTGGGGTGCCTAAGAGAGTAGTCACATGGCAAGAGAGTAGTCCTGGGGCTCCTAGATGCCCAGGAAATTGTCATGGAACCATCAGCAAGGGGTTCAGGGAAATGGAAGCTCTTGGCTTCTCTTTTCTGATATCTGGGTAGCAAGATTCAGGGTTATACCCTCCAGGGGAAGAAAATTACTAAAGATTAATGTGGCCAGTTCCAATCAAATGTTTGGGGTTTGTTTGTGTGTTTCTTTGGTTTGGTTTGGTTTGGTTTTGGTTTTGGGGTTTGGGGTTTTTTTTGTTTTGTTTTGTTTTATTTTTGGTTTTAAAGAGTTTCACTCCTTTTTAAATTAAATTTTTATTTTTTATATTAATTACAGTTTATTCACTTTGTATCCCAGCTGTAGCCCCCTCCCACATTTCCTCGTAATCCCACCCTCCCTCCCTCATCTCCTTCCATTCCCCTTTCCAAGTCCACTGATAGGGGAGGTCCTCCCCTTCCATCTGACCCTAGGGTTTCACAATTACATTTTATTCAAAAATATTATTTACTTTAACCATATTTACTCACTACATTTTCTGTCCTCCCAACAACCTCCTTCCTTTTCCCAAATAGCCCCCCTTCCACTTTCCAGTCATATGAGGAACAAACAGGGGGGCAATCTAATCTTTTCCCCTCTTAATCAATAGAGTGGTTGAAATCTTAGCCAGAACAATAAGGCACGAGAAAGAAATAAAAAGGTTGCATGTAGGAAATGAGGAAGTCAAATTATCCAATTTTCAGACACTATAAGCCTATAATTAAAAGACCCTAAATTTTTTTCTGGAATGTTTTTAAGTGGTGCAAAATGAACATTTATGAGGACCTCTTGCATCTCAAAAGCTATCTGAGTTGCTCTAGTCAGATCTTAAGGTAGAAAAGAGATGATCAGAGAGAGATCCTTTTAAAATAGGCAAAGAAATATAGCTTGCACCCAGACTGAACTCTCCTGGCCCTTACTGGGATAGCAGGAGAGGCTTACAAAGCCCCAGCTCCACACTCATGGCAGAGTAGACATCCAAAGGTACTCAGACCTGTGGGTGCATCTGTGGTCCTTGGTTCCTATCAGTGCCTCTGAAAACCGGGAGGACTCGTCTCTGGCTTCCTTCTTTCTCTTGACCTGTAAAAGTAGCATGAACTGTGAGAGGACCTAAGGTTGTGTCTTTCAAAGGACAAAGGTCTTTCCATGACAGTCCCAGACAGAGGTTAGGTCTCTTTTCCACATTTGCCATGCCAACTGGATGTCACCAAGGCATCCAGTTGGAAGAGAGAAGAGGCACTCTGCACCTGACCTCCAGGCATGTGCTGTCTGACCCATGCAGACAAATGGCCATCAGCTCACTCTTAAGTCTCCCCAGGGGCCTCACCCCTCTGAAAACAGAGCCTCACATGGTCTCTTATCTGTACCCAGACACATTCCAGAAGTATAAGCAAACAGTGCTACCCACTGACAGGATTTAGAAATCCTCTGCAAGCTGGGGTCCCAAGACTACATATATGTGGTGGCCCAGTGCTCTTTCTGGTGATGTCACCATTTCCTGCACGTGGAGTCTCTGTGTGAGGCATGGCAGGGCAGGGCAGGGCACACCTTTCAGGGTTTGGTGTTCTCTTTGTGCCACATGCCATTTTGTGGGCAGCTAGCAAAGGTTAGACTGACCCAGTTATTTCTCCTGACAATCCTGCTAATAAGGGACAGCGTGTGAGGAAACTGAGGCAGAGACTCATGCTCAGCCCAGTATTAGCATATTAGGTGCACAGTTGCTTCCTAGCTAGGGAAGTTCCTCTCTCACAGTCTCCTGTTGCTCCCCTTTGTTCAGGGAACCCACCTCCAGAAGTCATTTGGCTTCACAACGGGAACGAGATCCAGGAGTCAGAGGACTTCCACTTCGAGCAGAATGGTGGCCGACACAGCCTGTGTATTCAGGAGGTGTTCCCAGAGGACACAGGCACATATACCTGTGAGGCCTGGAACAGTGCTGGGGAGGTCCGCACCCAGGCCAAGCTCACCGTGCAAGGTGAACCGGAGCTGCTTTGGGGGCATGGGGGTACAACTTCTGCAAATGCCATTTAGGGGTGAGGGGAACACAGGAGACCACTCTGGTCCCATTACAGCCTCAGAGGCAGATCCCTGTCTCCAACTCAAGCTCTTGCAGTCCCTGCTCTCTCTGGGCAGCTGTAGGATGGATGGAGCACTGAGGGAAATCTGTAATATACTTAATTTGGTATTGATGGTTTGGGATATGAAATACGGGTTTATGAGTCCTTTCTCCTATGGAAGCCTGCTTTTTAGGAGGAGAGGTGGCTAAGTGCATGTAGTGAGTAACAGTTCTCATCAGGCACATCCAACACAGACATGAGCACCCAGCCTAGGACTCCATACTGTCAGGGCTTATACAAGTTCACGGTAATACTGTCCTCTGATAACATAACCAAGGCAGACTAGCAAGAAAGATGCTCTGTGTCTGCATACCCAGTCCATGCTCCTTCGGGACCACATGTTCTCCAGTAACACACTGTCTTCCAAACATTTGCCATCGTGGAGAATGGAGCGGATGTCAAGCTCTGTGCTGAAGGGCCTCCATCTCTGTGTCTCTCCATTGCCTGCTTCCAGAGCCTCAGGATGGCACCCAGCCCTGGTTCATCAGCAAGCCTCGTTCGGTGACAGCCTCCCTTGGCCAGAGTGTCCTTATCTCCTGCGCCATAGCTGGAGACCCCTTTCCCACTGTGCACTGGCTGCGAGATGGCAAAGCCCTCTCCAAGGATACTGGCCACTTTGAGCTGCTACAGAATGAGGACGTGTTCACCCTGATTCTAAAGAATGTGCAGCCCTGGCATGCTGGCCAGTACGAGATCCTGCTCAAGTGAGTCTGTGTGTGTGTCTTGCCAGCCTCTCTCTTCCCCTCCTTAGACTCCTGGCCCCTTTTGTTTCCTTCTTTCATGTTCTTTCCCACCCCTCCCCATGAGGGCCTAGTCTGCCCAGTATGGTAGCCATGCTCTTGGTTCTTGCAGTTGAGCAGACTAGGCCCTCATGGGGAGTCCTTCCCTCTGAGCTCGGGTCTCCAGGAGCCTCTCACATTATGCATTAGACTTGGCACATTGCGTGGTGTATGAAGAATATGAAAGATGTAAGAGTGTGAGACTGGTCTGGTAGCTCACTCCTGAATCTCACCACTTGGGAGGCTGAGTCAAGAGGGTCACCATGGGCTTGAGACCAGCCTGGACTCAAGAGAGAGGGGCTGGGAAAGAAGACCTGGATTAGAGATACAGGAGGATAGCAGTTAAAGGGGCTGCATTAGTATTATGTCTGTTGCTATGTAACAAATTACTCCAGGCCTACCAACTCAAAACAGCAAACATTTATTATTTCACACTTTCTGGGGACAGTTTCATTTTTGGCTACTATCATGAAATGCCTGAAACTAGATAGCTAGAAATGAAGGGAGAGTTGCTGAGTTTATGTCTCTGTAGGTCCAAGGCTGGCAGCTTTATCTGGTGATGGCCTTCCTTCTGGAAAAGTCCAAGGGTAGTGCAAGGGCCTCATATGGCAAGAGGCAGAGGGCATGCATGTGGTCTTTCTCTGTCTCATCTTTACAGGCACTAGTAATTGATTACAGGGACTCCACTTGATTGTTTATCTAATCTTAGATTTTTCCCCAAGGTCTAAACTCTGAATATTATAGTTGGATTAAGCTTCTACCTTTTTAACACATCACAAGAAATATTAAATTTCAATACATGAACCTTAGGGGCACACACATCCAGACCAAAGCAGCTAAAAATTGGAAGCATCTTAGAAAGAGTTTGAACCTATAGTGCTTTTTACTATCCATCTTTGGAAGTCAAACATCCTACATGGTTTTTGAAGTGAGCCACTAAGTAAAAATTTTATTTGAGACGTGAAGAATCAAAGTTTATCCTTTGGAGAAAAGCATACCAATGAATTTTAGATATTTTTAAACTGCCACAGGGGATGGGGTGAGCACTGGGGTGATGGCTAAGTGTAGTTAAGAGTACATACCTCTCTTGCACAGGACCCAATTTCTGTTTCTAGCACCCATACTGGACAGTAACTCTAGTTCCAGGGGCTCTGATGCCTTCTTCTTGCCTCAGTGGTTGCCTGCATTTACTCATATACCCACACACAGATGCAAACTCATACATAATTGAAAATAGGTGCTGGATGTAGCTCAGTGGTAGCATGCTTGCCTGGCTATACAAGGCCCTGTGTTTGATCCCTAGCGCGCGCACACACACACACACACACACACACACATACTTCAGAAATAAGTTTTAAAATATATTTTTTAAATTGCCACAGAGCAGAGAATGGTGGTGGACACCTTTAATCCCAGCACTTGGCAGGTGGATCTCTATGTGTTTGAGGCCAGCCTGGTCTACACAGTAGCCAGTGCTATGTAGAGAGGTCCATCTCAAAAAAGAGAGAGAGAGAGAGAGAGAGAGAGAGAGAGAAAACAAAACCCAAAACAACAAGAACAAAAATTGATACAGCTAGTGGTAGACACTTGCCTAGCATGTATAGAGCTATAAGTTTGATGCCTAGAAAACAAACAAACAAGAAAAGAGTAATGTGTTAGTTACTAACTGCATGTCAGGATAAAAGACTCTGGAAGGACAACTTAAGGAGTGGGAGTTTATTTTGCCTCAGTTCCAGGGTACAGTCCATAATAGCGGGGAGGTCATGGCAGTGGGAGCCTTAGGCATCTGCAGTCAGGAAATGGAGAGAGAGGAACATCAGTGCTCAGCTTGCTTTCTCCTCTGGGGTCCATTCTGTGGACCACAGCCATGGAATGGTGCTGCCCAGGCCTTCCTGATCCATTAACCCAATACAGTCTCTCATAGGCAGAACCGCGGCCTTTCTCTTAGGTGATTCTAGATATTGTCAACTGGATGACAATAATAACTATCACAAGTAATAAAAAACAAATAAAGCAACCACAGGGAGATTAGTTTCCCCTATTAAAATCCTCCACCCCCTAAAATACCAAGCCAAGCCTAGACTGATAGACAGAATGCCTGCTCCAGGCCCTAAGGCTGGCATGAGCAACCGTCCCACAAATGTGAGGTGGTGGCAGATCCCATGGATGGTTAGACATGGCCTGAATGGACGCCTGACTACTTGCTAACTTCCACTTCTCCGTACCAAGCCCATCATGTTCAGGGTTGGCTGTGTCAGCTCCATGCCATGGCTTTTGCTATGATGGAGCTCTATGCCAGACAATAAGTCTGGGCATCTCCTTTTCACATATATCAGCTAGCTGTGACTACTTAACCACCCCAAATACACCAAGTGCATTTTTTGAAAAATAGTCTTTAAATAAAAGAAAGCTGTTATCTCTTAGAACTCTTTTGGGTCTGCTCAGAAGTTAGGCCCACATGGGCAGAGCTCTATGGATCTGAACTAAACTGAGGCCCCTCTTACAATTTCCTGCATCATCCTGTTACTATCAGCCATGTGCCTAGAATATGTCAACTGACTCTGCCTTAACACTTGAACTTGTCATGAGGAAGGACAAATCTGCCTCCGTGATGAGGAGCCTACACACTTGCTCACTAGGCTGGTACTAGGGCAGAAACTGACTTGATGTGTCAGTACTTTTTGATGAAGGAACAGAATTTCGAGATGATACTTGTATTAAGCTGGATATCATATATGAGATGGGATTTTTGTGAGTGAGAGATATTTTGGTTGGTTGGTTTGGTTTTATGAGATATGATCTCATATTGCCCAGGTGGTCTCAAACTCACTTCCCCTGCCTCCAGCTCCTGGTTTTTTGTGAGATTCTGAAGCAAAAAGAAAGACTTGGTCTTGGCCAGTGAAAGAGGTCTTGGCTGTTGAATGAGCCAAGAAAGAAGGGGGTAGGGAGCACGAAGCAAGGGGCTGTAGGAAGTTTGCCAGGCCATAGATGGGGTTACACTGGAAGGGCAAAAGGCAGACTGTCTGGGACCAGCTGGGGACAGTCATAAAATGTAGACTATCCCAGCTGGAAGGGAATGCAAAACTTATCTAGCCTTCTCATCTAATAACGAGGGACGCCGGGGTCTCAGGTCGTTGACTTACTCGTGGCCACGAGCTGAGCCTAAGTTCGAGCCCTTGTCTTTTGACTTCAGTCACGTGTTCTTCCATCGCTATGGCCTGTCATTGGGAATGCCTTTCCATGCATGGGGAACTACGGGGCCTGGGACTTCATGCTCCTTTGCTCGTGCATCCCTTTCCCCTTTTCCTCCCAGAGTCAGATTCCTCATTCCTCCAGGAGGCCATTGCGTTGGCCTTGGCTCTGTCCCCAGCAAAAATGGAGCGAGTCAGTGGAAAGTTCTCCTGAGGAGAGCATGCCAGGCCTGCCAGGGACCTTGTTCCCTCTGGCTTTCTTTGTCCTGACAGAAGTCAGACCTGGCCCATGGAGGAGGGCCTTTCAGGGAAGAAGGCTGGGGAGCTGGGAGAAAACCAAGGGGTCCAGTCTGTTCCTGCTAACAGGGATTGGTGGGCATGGGTGGGCTTTGATCTCCCCTTCCCTTTACCAGCTCTGACCAAGAGGGGAGATAGCAACACAGCAGCTTCAAATTCCAGATGTGATGTTAGAAAACAAGATCTGTTCCAGGAAATTTCAGTTCTTTGCCTTTGTCTACATAAATCATCCTATGTGACTGGGATTTGAGATTTGGGGAGGGACTCGTTGCAAGGCTTTTGAACAGAGTATGAACTTCTTATACTGGGCTCAGGAAAGGGGGGCCAGCTGTGTCTATGTTTGTGGCAGGTGCAGCATGCAGAGTGACTGCTGTGTCCTGGGGGGCAACACCAGGGCAGGGACTTGGTCTCAGCCCAAGTTTGTGATGGAGTGTGGGTAGTATTAAAGATGTCTCTGAGAGACTGTTTCTGCTGGTTAGGTTACTGGTAGATGGTCCCAAGCAAGAATCCATCTGAACTTTATAGACCCCAGAAGAACCCATGACTTGCTTCAAAGACCCCGTAGAGGTTTTCCTTTTCGGCTTTGTAAATTGTTACCGCGGTGGCCCAGCCACGGTGTCTCAGCGCTCTGCCCCCTCAGCTGTTAGGAGACCTCAAGGTAAGGTCTGGGTGTGGGTGGAGCCAGAGACCCTGAGGTCCTTATCTTTGTAATCCCCACCATGAGGACAGATCAGGGTGATGAGAGAAGCCCTTACTTGCTTCCTTCCATGGGGAGACTTAGATAAGTCCTGCTCCAGTTCAGCAGACAGCACAACTCTGATTCACAGCCTCCTAGAGTGTGGCTAAGGTGAAGTGGGGCCAGCTGGTCAGCATTTTTTCCTGATTTCCATGCCTGGGCTTTGTCCTCCTTACGACAAGAGGAAACTCGGAGAGAATGTGTGGAGAGGAGTTACCAAGTAAACACCCATTGGGCATCGGGCTCTGCTGCATGCTAGCATCAGGCATGGCAACACTGTGGAGGAGGGAAAGAATAGCTTAACACTGCCTGGTGCTGACAGAATCAGGGTACAAGGTGACATGCTTACAGCCTGGCACTAATGAGTTGCTTGATAAACAGAGGTGTAGCCTGGATTCTTCAGGTTTCTTGAATTGGTAGTTTCAAAGAACCTGGACCTGGAGGAAGGGACAAGCTAGAGGGGCTGACAGGGAGGAGAGAGAAGGGAAGGAGCTGAGGTGACAAGAATGTATCTACATAGGCTCAGCCTGAGATAAGACAGGCAACAGGTGGAGCAAAGGAGGAGAGAGAGGGCTGGAAGGAAGCAAACAGACCTTGTTTCCCATGGGTCCCTGCCCAAGGACGAGGAGCAAATCCACAGACCCTGAGGAACAGAAGCACATTGTTGGCTGCTAGTGTCTTTCCAAGAGGAAGCACCAGACAGAGGGAGGTAGATGTTCCACTGTGGCAGCAGGAGGCATAAGCACACATTCCCAGACTCAAGATGCAGGTGCCTCACAGCTGGACCCATACACTTATGTATGTATATCCACGCTTGCGGTTAAGGCCTGCGTGTATACAGACACACTAAGAAACACACAAAGATTCCAGAGGGCCTGTTTGCAGGCCGCAAGTCTTGTATGCAAGTAGATCAGGTCCCAGCGCCTGTCCCTGCTAGTTATCTCTGAGTTTAGGCACATCATTTAACCCTCACGCACTCCATTTGTCTTATAAAACAAACAAAAAAAGACAGTGCTGCCTCTAACCTGTTAGAACCATAGACGAAATGAGGTGGGTTATATAAGGAAGAGGTCCTAGAGCTGGCAGCTGGTATGTCTCTCATGTGGTCTGGAAGGGTCACCCAGTAGTGCTGCTAAGGCAATGCATCCAGGGACCGTGTGGGACCTGAGGGTTCCAGCCTTGCACAGTCCCCACAGCTCCTTTCTCACACTTCCCAGACCAAGCTGGCATGCTGTAGAGAACAAGACAGAGTATGTGGCAGTCACAAGAGCCGGGTGGGGGGGGGTCCTTGGAATGGTAGAGCTTCCTCATTTTATTCCCAGACTTGCCCCTTTCCCTAGACTTCGGCCTTGAAACGCCAGCAGAGGGCAGCCTCACAGGCCGGAGGGCTCATCTGCTTTGAATCCACCCTGCTAGCCACTTAGCCCCCTGCCTGAGAAGAGGGGCCTCAGCTGGCCATGCACCCCCAGAGGCTGAACAGCTCTGCGATTGTAAAGAATCCAGAGCCCTCCCCACCTGAAGGAGTAAAAGAAAGGGCCAACCATGTTGGAGACATGCTTGTTAGGTTTTTAACACAATGTTCTGGTTAATGAAGGTAGGCTAGGGCTGTTTTCAAAGAGAACTTAGCCACTAGGGAAGTGCCTGCATGGATTTGAGGGGGGTTGGAATCAGGTCGGTGACTGGGCATATGAGCTGGGCCTGTCTGCATCAACCAGTGGCCTCATCACAGCCCCCAGCGGCCTTTATTCTTGGACTGCGTGATCAATTGATAGTGTTAAGGAAGGAGTCACACTGGTCCATGCTGATCTTTGCTGCTGTCCCAGATAGCCCCCCCCCTTCCCCTTCTCTTCAATCCAGAACTGTAAAAATCAAGGTTGACCACAGGGTGAGAGCCCTACCCTAAATCTAAGTCTGGGATGATTGCCACAGCTAAGCCCTAGGCTTAGGGTCCGTCAGCCCATGACCAAGTCTATGCTTGCCTTGCACCCTTCCAGCCCTGAGCCGAGTAGGTCCTTTGCCCAGGGAGCCCCATAGTCCTCATGGTACTGTCCTTCATCAGGAACCGGGTCGGTGAGTGCAGTTGCCAGGTATCACTGATGCTGCAGAACAGTCCTGCCAAAGCCCCACCACGGTGAGTGCCCCCGGGAGTTGCCTGGCCAGGCCCCTGCACCCGCCACCCTCCTCCTGGCCCTGAAGCCTGGGATTGTTTGTGTCCTCCCACTGAAGCTACCAGAGCCAAAGGGAAAGATTGGAAGAGGATGCGGGGGGAGGGCAAGGGAAGGCAAAGGAGGGGGTGATGGGTGTTCTTTTTCGTGTTTCTTTTTTTTTCTTTCTTTTTTTTTTTTTTACACACACCCTTATAAGGCTACTGAAGTCATTACCGATATAATAAACCAACGAGGCAAGTGAGCGCCTCTCACCAATGTTCCCTTCTATAAACACAGCCTGGCCGGCCCCCACGTCCCCTTCCCCCTCCTCTCTACCCTCCGCCCTCAGGGATTTGCTCTCCCCTGACGTCTCTGCCTTACCCAGCCCCTTTTCTTCCTGCTACTCTCCCCTTTTCCTTCACTGGTTGTTGCAGGGGGCGGGAGCCTGCCAGCTGTGAGGACCTCTGTGGTGGAGGAGTTGGTGTTCATGGTGATGGTGACCGTGATGGGACCCTGAGGCCTGGCTGGCCAGCAAGAGGGCAGGGTTGGCCAGAGGAGGAAGACGGAGAAGACGTGAGGGGGCTGTTGAAGAGACGGGTGGAGACCAGGCTGCACACAGAAGAGGCCATCCGCCAGCAGGAGGTGGGGCAGCTGGATTTTCGTGACCTCCTGGGAAAGAAGGTGAGCACCAAGACAGTATCAGAAGAAGACCTGAAGGGGATCCCAGCTGAGCAGATGGATTTTCGCGCCAACCTTCAGCGGCAAGTGAAGCCGAAGACTGTGTCCGAAGAAGAGAGGAAGGTGCACAGTCCCCAGCAGGTTGACTTCCGCTCTGTCCTAGCCAAGAAGGGGACCCCTAAGACCCCCATTCCTGAGAAGGCACCACCTCCAAAAGCTGCCACCCCAGACTTTCGCTCAGTGCTAGGTGGCAAGAAGAAGTCACCCGCTGAGAATGGAAGCAACAGTGCTGAGGTCTTGACTGGCAAGGCTGGGGAAAGCCCCACACCTGTAGGCAATACACAGCCAGTTGGGGCCCTGAAACCCATAGGCAACGCCAAGCCGGCCGAGACACTGAAACCTATAGGAAATGCCAAGCCTGCCGAGACCCTGAAACCCATAGGAAATGCCAAGCCTGCTGAGACCCTGAAACCCATAGGTAACGCCAAGCCTGCTGAGACCCTGAAACCTATAGGAAATGCCAAGCCTGCCGAGACCCTGAAACCCGTAGCCAATGCACAGCCCGCAGGGTCCCTAAAACCCATTGGCAATTCACAGCCTGCTGAGACCCAGAAGCCTGTGGCCAATGCCAAGCCTGCTGAGACCCTGAAACCAGCTGGGAAAGAAGACCTCAAGGAGGTTAAGAATGATGTGAACTCTAAGAAGGGGCATGCCGGAGCCACAGGCAATGAAAAGAGACCTGAGAGCCAAGGCTCAGCCCCAGTCTTCAAGGAAAAGCTACAAGATGTCCATGTGGCTGAGGGGGAGAAGCTGCTACTCCAGTGCCAAGTGACCTCTGATCCCCCGGCCACTGTCACCTGGACACTGAATGGAAAGACACTCAAGACCACAAAGTTCATCATCCTCTCCCAAGAAGGTAAATGAGGGTGAGGGTAAGGAATATAGGGAGCCCCTACCTACATGCATCAGTGTAAAACCATAGCCTGCAGTCTGCCTGATGGTTACTCGTAGCCATGCCTGAGTTGGAATAGCCATCACTATCCCCCACCCCCACTTATAGATAGGCTGGCTCCCTGCTGAGGGTCCTGGAGTGTGTACATGACTCTGCTGTGGATGAAAGTTGGGCTTCTGGTCTGTGTGGTACAGGCTGTGCCTTGGTGTCTGTCTGACAGCCCTCTCCTGGCACCCCACCCAGGTCTCCTTTGAGCAGATCTAGAACTGAGTGTCCAGCATCCCCCCGCCCACCCCTATGGAGAGAGCTGTGCTTGCACAGCTGGGAAAGGGGGGACGGAGCTGAGGTCAGCTGGGGGCCCTGAGTGCATTACTGATGGAGAAGTGAAGGAAATTGCGGGTGATGGCTTACTGGTGTGGGACTAGGGGCTGGCACCAGCAACAGCTCAGTCTTGAGGACATCATGGGCCTGAAGGGCCCCGTGGGCAAACAAAACAGTCAACACAGCCCCGATGGCCGCACTTACTCAGGACAGAGCTGCTCACTTCCTAATTTGGATGAGACTTTTTGTTTGCTGGTGTTTCACATTCTTGGTTGGGGGGTGGTGCAAGTGCTGCCACCCATGGCCTTTGGGGCTCTGGAGTTCTCAAAAGGGCCAGTTTACATCAGAGAAAATGGGAGAGTAAGAGGGAGTTTATCCCCAACCCCTTGACATGGTTTATTGTTCTTTTACATTTATTTATTTGTTTGTTTTATCTCTATGTGTGTGTTAAAGAGAGAGAGAATGATTGATTGAGAGTGTGGGTACACACTGCCATGGTACATGTTTAGAGGTCAGAGAACTTATAGAAGTTGATTCTTTCTTTCCATCATGTGTATCCCCTAGGATCAAACTCAGGGGGGCCAGGTTGGGTGGAAAGTGCCTTTACCTGCTGCTGAGTCACCTACCCAGCCCTCAGTATGGTTTAAGACATTATTATAAATCCCAAGTCTTATCGGGAACTCCTAGGCCAGATGATATTCCACAGTCCACTGAGGTGGATAGTGGAGGGACAGGGTCCTGCCTGAGCTAGAGCTGACCCTCAAGGGTCATGAGGAAGTTCCCAGGATATGGCATGTGTCCTGTCACTAGAGGCTGAGTGGACAGGTCTTAGCAAATGCCAGTGCACTGAGATGCCAGCCCTCTCCTCCTCTCTCTCCAGCTATCCTCCAGTTACCCCCCTCTCCACCCACTTCCTCCTCATCCCTACCTCCAAAATCCTGGAAGGAGGCATTTGCAGATAGCACATCCTTGTCTTTATGCCACAATCCAGCCAGCTGAAATATGTAAGAGTCTGAATGTTGAAGGACCACAGGCAAACTGGAAATTTCTTTCAGCAGAGACAAATGGTATAATCTTCTGCTAATGTGTTGACCCAGTAGCTTTTGCACACTGATTTCCCCAATTCGGCAGGATCCTCCAGAAGGAATTTGTCCCCCTGTGTCTACAAGTTCTGCCTCTATGGTGTCTACACACAGTGTTGAGGGGACACTGTGGTGGGGTGAGAAGTCTGGAACAATGGATAATACCCATTGTCCCTGTCACACCCAAGGGCCTTCCCGAGTGGGCTTCAAATAGAGTGGGAAGCTTGACCAGGAGTGTTCCTCAGATCACCATGTCCAATGACCTCTCTAGGCAGGATGGAGGACAGCCACCAGTCTGGGATGTGGAAATGGTAGAACCCTGCATGATACTGTCCATGACTACACCAACCTCAGGGAAACTGGGGTTCAAACAGTGGTGGAGGTGGCAGTTCCCAATGGCCAAGTATAGTCTACTCAACTGAACAGTATAAGGCAGACTTCGGCCCTGATCGCAAAAGTGTTCCTAGGCCACCCGCTGCTGGCTTCCCTTATGGTTGCTTGGAGTAAGTTTTAGAGCACAGAGATGCAAGCAACACCATTACTTCCCAAAGGGAAGGACAAGAGAAGAAAAGCTGAACAGGCCGGCACAAAAGAGAGACTGTGAGAGGGGAGTGGGAGTTACAGAAAGAGCTCCGAACCATACTTCAAACAATATTCTCAATATTTCAAAGTAAGAATAGCTCGTTTACATCCAGTTGAACACCATGTCCAGACGCCATCCTAGACATCTTAAGTTTTCTAGTCACTTAATCCTCACACCACTAAATAGCTTTCTAACAGAGAAGTTAAGTTGCCCAAGGTTGCACAGCAGGGCAAAGACCAGACACTTCCCTGCGATGGAGGAAGGAGACCTTGATGTGAGCCACAATAAAGGGGAGAGTGTTTGTTCTCCAAATAGCAGCCCTGCCTCTGGACCCTGTACTCACCAGGTCTTTAGTGGGGGTTTTGTGACAGGGAAGTGCACCTTAGGGCTTATCAACTCTCATTCGTGAGGCCCAAGAAGGCAGCAAGGTGGTCAGAGCTGGTTTGAATCTGCTCCTAGCAGATCTGGCTGAGACAACACAGGCTCACGTGATAAAGCTGTTAGAGCCAAGTGTCACAGAGTGGGTCCGAGAGAAGGAGTTGCTGCATGCTAGGGAAATGGGTGACTAGTAGGAGAGCCCCTGGCCCACCTCTGAGCCCAGAAAGCAGACGAGACTTGAGCAGCAGGGAAGCTATCAGTAGGTGAGCCCTCCCTGTACAGGGCTTAGGGCATTAACAGCTGGCTGCTTACAAATGGGCCCATCTGGGCTGGCGATGGTGACTTGACCTTGGTTTCAGCCCACATCCTGTCAGAGAACATGTCTAAAAGCAGCCGAGAGCCATGCAGAGAGATTTTGGAGTTAGGAATGCTACACACAAAGTTGGGTTTGAGGGGCTTTGACTGACTCCAGGCCAAAGACAAGTATGGAGAGATTGCTGAAGAGGTCAGGGGCACGGTGGTCAGGCCCAGACTGCCAGGGTGAGCATGGCCACAGAGGGAAAGAATCCAGTGTAAGAAGAACACACATCTGCCATGTATCCTGGCTTGAAGGGCAGCATGATGGCTGGAGCTGGGGGCAAAGAGCGACTTAGAGCAGACTGAGTTCTCTTGGGCCAAAGAGATGTTGTCCCTGGAACTAAGGAAGCCAGTGATTTGAGGCAATGGGTAAGGGGAAAGAGCATAACCTGTTTCCCCCCCCCCCAGCACCTCCCCATCTGTACCTCTGACTTTCCTGACCCCCATCCTGTCAGTCTCCCCCTCTATCAAGATTTCTTTCCTCCAGGGTACCTTCTCAGACCCCTGTCACTTTAATCAAGAGACACCCCTGCCCTCCTTGTACCCAAGCAATGCTCAGAGCTTCCACTGCTAGTGGACACCTGTGTGGGTATCCAGGAGCTTCTCTGCTGAGCCCCACAGCCTTACAGGACAGGGTTACATCCACCCCACTGAATGCTGAGGAAAGCCCAAGAAGAAGCGCGATGGCCGTTGGTGGGATTTGACCAGTAGGCAGTTCTTGGAGGCTCAGTCAGGTGGAAGTGGCTCTTCTCCTAGCACCCAGAGCTGCGGGACACTTGTGTTCAGGAGACCATCAGCTGGGCCAGCAAGGACAGGCACCTGGGTCTCCCTTCTAGACCGGTCTTGGCTGTAGGAAGACAGTGACCCTGGAGTCCAGGCAGGGCTGAGGTAGCGTTAAAAGGGCCTTTCTTTCTATGGGTCACTTCCTGCCTCTAAGCTGGGCTTCCCCTAGCAAAACACTTCTCCCAGTCTAGTAATGACGCTTTGTTTTTGTTGCTATTGTCAGGAGATGATTCATTTTTAATTGCCTTCAGGGTGGAATCTTGTGAAGGCCTTTTCAATCCAGTATAAATCATTCTACAAATTATATAGCACCTACTGTTTACAAGGCATTAATATATATAATCCCTTTGTTTGTATGTAGGATTCATTTAAAGAACTCAGAATTCCCTATTTCTTTCTGTCTGGAAACTATCTGATCTTTTTCAACAACACATATAAACATATATTATTGATTATGTGTTCATATCCAGTCTTGCATAGATCCTTCCAGATCGCCTACTGTGGAAATAGCCTCTTGTCATTCAGAGAATCTCAATAGATTTTTATTGCAGTTGCATTCCAGGCATGGTTACAGTCCTCAGAGATAGCACGGGAGACAGGAGTGTGATTCAGCAATGGCCTTGAGATGGCCTTTGTGGCTACCAATTCGCTCAGATGACTGGGGAGCTCAGGAGAGATGCAGCTAGAACTAGGGCCTCAGAGGTGACACAGAGGACACTGTTCCCAAGGAAAAAAAAAAAAAAAAACCAGGAGAGTAACAGTGTTGGTCAGGAGGACAGGTCAGAGAGGCCTGCAGAACAATCAGGAGCTGCCAGGGCTTCTGACCCCCCTAACCCCAAGCCTAACCCCTCTCTCCACTCTCCCTACCCACTCAGGAAAGGGAAGATCTGGGGGTGGGGTCTTCAGTCACAGAAGAGTGACTCCCCAGACAGGAGAGGCTCCTGACAGAACTCCTTCTGAACTATTCAGTGGATTTCTGCTTCCCATCCCCCCTCACTCCCTCTCAACCTCCCATCAGGCTGACAGGCTGAGGCTTCCAAAAAAAAAAAAAAAAAAAAAAAAAAAAAAATGCTGGGAAACAGCTTTCTTCTGGAGGTCAAGAATGAGCCGTCCCACAGGAAATACCAGATTCTTCATCTGGGGTAGCCAACCTCCAGCCTGCCCAGTCTTCTTCCAACACACGCAGGATGTGGCCATGGCCAGGCTCTGCTGGGGTCTGGGAGAGCTGGGAAGAGAGGTGGGGTCTTGTTCAGATATGCCACTGCCCTTCAAGCCACTGCACTCCTATCCAGAGTGCTTGCCATTTAAGTTTCAGGCCAAAGGCAGCTGGGGAACCAAAATTAAGAAAGCAAAAACGAGGAATGAAACAGGCTGTGACTTGGGGATGGGGGAATGGAATATATCCTCCCAGATCAGGGAAATTCAGGGGTGAGTGGGTTTCCTCTACGCCTTGGCTTTCAGGCTAGGGGTCATCCTACATCCTCCCGCCCACCCAGATGGATGGAATAGCTGCCCTCACTCCCCTGTCGCTGTGCCTCCTGGTTCTTATTCCCATACCAGACTTTCTTCATTTCCAACCAAAATCCTTTCTGTTGCATTTGGGAAGATATGGTGGCCCATTGCCCTCACCATGGGACGACAGCGTGAGGCCTGTTCAGGAGCTGGTAGGAGAACAGGGATACAAATCAGATATGCTATCCCAGGAAACAGTGTAGCCTTTTCAACTCTCCAGTCTGGATATGGTTCTGAGGGCCCCACCGATGCCATCTTTGTTCTCTGGGTTTCTCAGCCTTGTGTAACCAGATTAGTTAGTTAAGGTCTCTGTTGCTGCAAGGAAACACCATGACCAAAAAGCAAGCTGGAAGGAAAGGGTTTATTCAGCTTACAGGTACTCATTGCTGTTCAGCATTGAAGGAAATCAAGTAGGGCAGGAACCTGGAGGCAGGAGCTGATGCAGAGGCTATGGATGAGCACTGCTTACTAGCTTTCTTCAAATGGCTCCCTCAGCCTGCTTTCTTACAGAACCCAGGACCAGCAGTCCAGGGAAGCCTCAACCACAACAGGCTGGGCCCTTCCCCCACTGATCACTAATTAAGAAAATGCCCTACAGCTGAATCTCATAGAGGCCTTTTCTCAGTTGAGGCTTCTTCCTCTCTGATGACTCTAGCTTGTGTCAAGTTGAGATAAAACCATCCAGAATACATAATGGAACAGGAGGGAAGGTAGAGGAGTGGTATACTTTTGAGAGCTTCCCTGGGAACAGCACCCATTGATCTTGTCTCACACTCCCTTAAACCTGGAATGTGTACAGCTGTGTCCTCCCAGTGCCAGTGGCCTGGGGGTTGTGGGAACGGGCAGCTTACAGGCAGCGGGATGGACATGGCTCTGCTCTCTCATTTTCTTGTGATGGCTGGTGTGCTGACACTGGGTAGCTTGGGCAGGGTGCCATGCAGTAGGCTTGTTTATGTGTCTCAAGGTAGGACCTAGCAGATGGCCTGCACTCCTGGCTAGCCCGGCTGGCCCTATTCTTAGATGCCTTTTTCCCACAAGTTCTCTTAAAAGAGAACTGACCAGTCCTGGTGGTGAGAGAGCTGGATGAGGATGGATCAGATCCCTGAGCAACCCTATGTGCTCAGCCTTCCCCTCTCCAGCTCCAGCCCTCAGAGGTATGCCTCAGGCAAAGGGAGACAATGAAGGCTGTGAGGAAAAAGGCCATCCTCACCCCTCCTTCAGGGGCCAGAAGGCCCATCCCTGTAGGAAGGCTGCCCCAGAAGTCTCTCCTCTGGCCTAGTACCTCTTTTTAGCCTATTCTTCAGCCATAACACTCTTCCTAAAAAGCCATTTACTACAGTCACAGTCCACAGCCACTACCTTCTCACAAGAGCTCATCCCAAAGTCCAGTGCCCCTGTTAGACAGGGGTTCCTACCCTCCCCTACTCATCTGTGCACTAGAAACTCTCTTTACCTTGGACTGGTGAAATGTTTCAGTGGGTAAACGGGCCTGCCACCAAACCTGGTGACCCTGGCACCCACATGGTGGGAGGAGAGAACCACCTCCTGAAAGTTGTCCTCTGACCTTCACACACACAGCACCACAAATGCATGGGGTTTGTTGGTTTGTTTGTTGTTTCTTTTAAAAGTCCGTTTACCCAGCGGTGTCCCCAGCGTCACTGCCAGATGACTCCTTCCTGGCTACTGTCCCCAGGAGACTGTTCCTGGCTCTTTATGTTTTGTGTAAGAGGCAGGCCACATGCACCTGCTCCATCCTCCTCTTTTCCACGGACAAAGGCTCCTCCTCTCTCCTGCAGTTTCCCAAAAGAGCCCTCCAGCCACAGAGGGCATCCCGGGGAAGTTGATTAGGAATCTGCTTTTTGGAGTAGGTAACTCAACAGAGTTTGCAGGATTCCCAGAGGAGAAAACCAGATTCCCAGTGGGCCTCTGCTCTGGGCCTCTGAGAAGGGGCTTGTTTGTAAAGACACCTGCTGTGCTCGAGATACCAGGGCAGGTACTGGCTGTGCCCTTACCTGGTCATTCACAGCCTTTCCTTGTCTTTCCCCAGGCTCACTCTTCTCCATCTCCATCGAGAAAGCACTGCCCGAGGACAAGGGTTTGTACAAGTGTGTGGCCAAGAACAGCGCTGGCCAGGCGGAGTGCTCCTGCCAGGTCACTGTGGATGGTAAGTCACGCTCACCCACTGCTACCGTACACACAGGGCCCATCTCTTGGGCCCTTCTACATCTGAAAGAAACTCCCCCAAATTGTATCCCAGCCATGCGTCAACATTCATTTGGTGAGACTCAAAGCTATCTTAAAAAAAAAGAGTCAAGCAGGAAAGTGATTGCCTTTCCTTGATTGCTTGGTTGCCCACATAGCCTCTTCCTGAATCCTCTGGCCAGGAAGAAGCACAGTTCACCTTCTCCTCCCCTCCCACTCCTGACCTCCACACCCAGAACCTTCCGGGCAGGGAAGCTGGGCACAAGGGCACCAGCAAGAGAAAGGACACACCCACAGGAAAATGACTCTAAATATTTAACAAACCCAAGCAGACAAGTGTGCACAGTGCTGGTGCACAGGCCCACTGAGAGCCTGTGCCTGAGGAGTGAGCTGAGTGTGCACGTGTTCTCCTGGAGAAGGTGAGTCAGGCTGAGGTGGGGAGAGAGGAGAGCAGGGCTACTTCTGCCAAAAGAAAACTGTGACAGTGAGCGAGCGGAGAGAAGGGAAGAGAAGCAGGACAAAGATCAGACCCATTAGGAGTGTGGAGCTCCCCAGCTCAGGAAGGGGCAAGGCCCAGCAGGAAGCATGCATTTGTGTCTCTTTCCTCTCCTCCATGAGGAATATTGAAATAGAGCCTGGGAATAGAACAGGCCTTGCGATGGTTTAGACCAGCAGCATTAGAATCAAACCCTACCCAGGACCCCTCACATGCCAGGCGGAGGCTTTTCCTCTGAGCTATATACCCAGCTGCAACACCCATATTTTATGAATGAGAAAAACTGAGTCCCCTCAGAAAGGAAAGGCAGCCTACAGGAAGCTCCCTGGCCCCATAGGAACTGAGCCAGGGCAAAACCTGCAGGACTTTTAATCCAGTGCCTTTTCTTTGTATTTTCACCCTTGGCTGGAAATGTCTAGAAAGGTAGTATTGGGGAAAAAACAGTTTCTTGCCCTTGAAGTGCCTGCTTAATAGCCGTCAGTAACATGTCAAAAACTGGTCTCCAAATAAGGCATCTGAAAGAATAATAGCTTTGTTGTTCTTCTGACTCCTGAGTGTGAACACTTTAGTCCTAAAATCCTAACCTGTTTTATAGCCATCCCACAAGATGGAGAATCTTTGTCCTCACTCTGGATTTCATAATCCCATTTCCTGATCACAAAGCAGAGATCTGGGGTACATAGTAATGGGAGAAAAGATTTAGTGTCTTCTAAAGGAAAGTGTCTTTTGAAAACATGCAATTGCAAAGAAAATTAAGTAGTTACTAGCCAATAGTCTGACAGGGTGTAGGTACCCTGGAGTTCTAGGAATGACTTTTGCTCACCTCCATGCATGCTGTGAGACTCCTGCTTACTTTAACTGTGTGCTTCTTCTCACCTGCCTGTCACCACCTAGGTCAGAGTCCTGCTGCCCCTTGTCCAAGTGCTTCCTTCCTGAAAGCTGATTTCTAACTGCCCCACTGGGGATTCAGGCTGATTCCTCCCATCCATAAGTGGCCAGCCTGCTAATGAGGTCATCTGCTTTTGAAACCCCTGGCCTCTTGAGCTCCTATTTACACAGTGACCTGCAGGCAAGAGAGCAATTTGTTCCCCTTATCTGTAGAGTGTCAGCACCTTTTCCAGATTTGTTTGCCAAGAGCAATCTCCTTTTCCCTTTCACAGTCTATTTAGGAGGTTTTCTCTCTCTCTCTCTCTCTCTCTCTCTCTCTCTGTGTGTGTGTGTGTGTGTGTGTGTGTGTGTTTTAAAGGGAACTCATTCATTCTGCAACTTAAGAGGCTCTGTTTGCTCAGGAGGTGTGCCGAGTAGAGACTATTTGCTGTCTCTATGGATCTTGATGATTGGTATCAGTTATCTCTGTCCCTTGGAAGTCAGAATTTGTCTGTCCCCATCCCCCACTACAAATTAGGAACTGTGTCTCTGAAGGAGAGACATCAGCTGAGATAACAGAAATGACTCTCATTTAACTGGGCATGGTCTGGTTTTGTTTGCAGAAAGGAAAAGGAGCAGCCCTCTCCCTCATCCCACTCCCCACTTCCCTTGCTATTGTAATTGGCAGGTCCACGTCATCTGTTGGATGAGCTTCTTACCACACTTACCTCTGTTTTCTCACCAAGAGCCACCACCAGGCAAAAGTGAAGGACCATGGGCTCTGTAACTGCTCCCTTGCCCTTATGGCACCTTTCTGCCTTCTGTGGGCTGATGTTTTGCCAAGATGGGTAACCTCCTGTCTCTTAGATCTTAATAGATCTGATCATCCTTTGCTATTGTCAAAGTCAGATGTGTGGATGTCGGGGGAGGGGAGGCAACAGGATCACAAAGTCCAAGATCACTGTGGAAGACTGTCTCAATAAAGAAATAAAGAGAAGAGGGAGAAGCAAGGAAGGGAGAAGCCATTTGCACTTAGGAGTTGCTAGGTATGGTTGAATGTTCATTAGTAAGCTCTTCTAATCCATCTACTGTAGAGAACCAGTCCTGCATCTCTTCTGGAGGACACTGCAGGCCCTCTCTACTGTGCCAACTTCAGGCTGGCCATGCTCCCTGAAACCCACTATCACTCATTCAGCCTGTACCCAATACCATTAAGACTACGTCTATGATCAATGTAAGGATGCATTTCAGCATCTCAGAAACAGGAATCCAGTTGTGTTCAATGGTGTTCTGTATCCTTGTTTTCTCTCTTCTTTCATTTGTTGTTCAGAGCACAGTTTCTCTGTGTAGTCCTGGCTGTCTTGCAACTCATTCGGTAGACAAAGCTGGCCTCAGACTCAAAGATCCTCCTGCCTCTGCCTTCAGGGTGCCCGGAAAGGCATGTGCCACCATGCCTGGCAATTGTTCTGTTTCTTAGAAAGGAGGAGGGGTAACCTGTAGAATGCAGCATGCCTAGTTATTAACAGCGCTCCATGGGCCATTTGCCTATGAAAAGGGGTATTTGTGCCCCTTGTTAATTATGGTCACATCATCCTTCCTTTCAAACCCAGCAGAAGATAAGTGTCAACTTCTCCTATCCAGAAGGGTACTGAGCCTACAATGGGTAGAACGTGCCAAGAAAACTCACCCATGAGCTGACTTTTAACACCTGCCATGGACAGAGACTTTTGTGCTTCATCTTTTCAGCTTCTGCAACAGGGGGCAGGCTACCTCTCCCAAAGAGTTCTGCAGAGCTGACTGACAAGAACCTAGTCTAGGCTGAAGCCCTGCCCAGTAAATTACAATGTATGTTGTCCTGAGAGAGCTCGGGTGTGTCAGGTGCTGGGGCCTACCATACCTTTCCATGGGCTGGTTCTGGCAGGGCATTACCATGTCAAGACACTTCTCAGAGATCTTGACCTCCATTATTGCCAGCCCTCTGCTGGGAAGTTCTTTCTACTCAAATCACTGAGTAATTAAATCCTATGATTCCCTCCCAGCTCAGGCCTCCCAGCCTCAGGTACCCTAACTAAGGCATTTAGCCTTAGCTTCAAGGAGAGCAGGGCTTCACAGACATACAAGATCATAAGTCTTTGTGTAGGGAGAGCATGTATCAATGGCACCCATACCATCAATCATTCATTCAACAAATATTTAGATATATACCCCACCAGGCACAGTTTAAGGAGCTAGTGTTGCTGAGAATAAACAGAAAATATTCCTGGTCTCAGGATGTGTGTGTGTGTGTGTGTGTGTGTGTGTGTGTGTGTATCTGTGTATGTGTGTGAGTGTTATATGTGTGTGATGTATGAGTGTTTGTGTATGAGTGTGTATGTGTGTGTCATTGTATACCTGTGTGTGTGAGTATGTGTCTGTGTGTGTGCTCACACATGCACTTAAGTAATACCGTGTGTGAGGAAAGCACAGCCAGGTGATGGGGTGGGAGGGTGCTTCAGGAAGGGGTTGCTGAGGACCTCTGGTAGAAGCACATTTGAACAGAGACCAGCAAGAAGTGAGGGAAGACGTAAGAGAAAAGCACAGTGAGACCGTGGGCAGTGTGGGAAGAAGCAGCAGGCCAGGGGCCAACCACCAGGTGCAGAGGGCCAAGAATGAAGGCTTAAGAGCCAGGGACCACTCACCCAACCCACAGGTAGAGCTCGCTTAGGGCCTAGGGACTGAATGAGCTCCTATGGTAGATGTGACTGAAGATAAGGCCAGAGCGAGAGATGAGTACTGTCCTGGAGAGTGAGATAAATGCCCTTTAGAAGAAAAGGAAGAAGTCCAGGAGAGAGTAACCCGGATTCTAGAAAGAAAAGAATGACCAGATGCTGCCACTGATATAGCTCAGCCTGACCACTGACCATTGCAAAGAATAGGGCAGAGGTCATTAGTGAGCTTGACAAGAGGGACTCAGGAGAGTGACAGTAATGTCTGTGAGCCTCATTTGATACATAGCGAGCAGTCACCTGCTCAGGTTACCCTGACTAGCTGAGTGGAAATCTGAAGCCAGGCACTTGTCCCCAACCACTGTGGTGAGCTGACTGTCGCTGAGCAGAAGCTGACCTACCTTGGTCTGAGTCCCACCATATTCCTTTATCCTGTTTTTACATGTGTTCTTTAAATCTCCATACACAGCTAGTTAGGATTAGGTTGAACTGAATCAAACTTCTGTCTTTTGTAGCTCTGAAACACTTGAGTAGCCTGCGACTGGAAGATTGTGCTGGGTTTAAGACTGGCCTGGGCTGTGTGGCAAGTTCCAGCCAACCTGGGCTATGGGATGAGAGCCTGTCTCCAAAATAAGGAGAGAAAAGGGAGTAGAGAAAGGAAGGGGGGGAGGGAGGAAGCGAGAAAGAGGGAAAGATAGGAGGAGGGAAGGAAGGGAAGAATTTAAATATTGATGCGTGTTATGGTGCTTCCTGCTGTGACACACACAGTGGGATGCCTGTGCGTGCATGGTAAATGCTGCCCGTTCATTTGACTTTTCATTACACTTTATTATTTATTTGAAGCCTGGGGGCATATCAGAGCATGTGCAGAGCTAAGAGGACAATTTCCTGGAGTCATTTCTCTCCTGCCACCCTGAAACTTCCAGGGATCAAACTCAGCTCCTCCGGCTTGATGGCCTTGATGGATCCATACCTATTTTCTGCTACTCACTTCCCCTTTACTCTTCTGGTTGAGATGTTATTTTTCCTCACTAGGAAGGCTCCCTACTCATAGATTAGGAGCTTATCCAAGGGCTCATGGCCACCAAACAACACAGCCACGGAAGGGTTCACATTTCCCCAACTGAAAGTCTGTGCGCTAGTGGACTGCCTGCTATTAGGAGAGAAATGGGTCATCCCAGAAGGTGTGGGAGCCCTGCCTCGGCTTTGCCCTTCCTGAGGCCCCTGAGGTTCAGACCTTCTCCCAGAAGCTTCTCAAAGCCCCTCCTTGCCTAGGGTCAGAGTCCAGGGATCTAACCTCTTCTGGGGGAAACCAAAACCAAAACAAAACAAAAACCAACCTATCCCAAGGGTCCTGAATGCAGAGCAGTGGGCGGAAGGGGTGAGGGGTTGTCCATGTAAGGGCAAGTCTGCTGGTCTCTTTAGCCCCCCTACCCCCACTTTTCTACACCTCTGTCCCCCCCCCCCCCTACGCTTTTTTTTAGGGGCACAACCAGGCCAGCAAAGGACTCCAGCCCTGGGGCCCAGATCTAGAAATAAAATCGAGTTTCATCACAAAATGATTAAAATAGACAGAAAATACAAGCTGCTCTTAAACTTTTATTACTATTATTTTTATCCCCTGGGCAGCATGTGAGCACAAAGCTGGTTTTGATTAAGCGTATGGTCCTCCCAGCCCATTCTTTACTGCGGTTCTCACAGCGGCCTAGCAGCTCAGTACCCCTGGCTGGGCCCCACGCTGCATGTACAGCCCCCACAGCACTGGCAATTTAGGGGGTGCTGCTTCCCCCAACCCTGGGCCTCTGGGTTTGGGAAATGCCTGGTTTAGAAGAGAAACTTGAGCACTTTTCTTCAAGGGCCTGATGAGAAGATAAACTGCAGTGAGCAGAGCTTCTCCAAACCAGCTCAGTGTACACTCCGGGCCAAGTGCTCACAGCTCACACCTCCAGTAGTGCCAAGGACACCAAGGCAGGCAGAGCTGGTAACAGAATTCTGAGCCTACAGAATGCTAAAGCCCCTTTCTCGGTCCCAACTTGCACCAAAATAACATCCAGTATGACCTGGAAGAAAAAGGCACCCCAGGTCCACCCTACCCTCTTTCAAAAGCCAAAAAACTGGGCCTCTCACTGTTGCTTACCTGCACAACCAGCCTACCTATCAGAAAAAATTCACTCCTTTTCCTGGGAAGGGAAGAAGAAGTAAAGAGAGACATTTCTGAATGCACCCTTATTTAAAGTCCTGGGGGTCTTTCTGTTCCATGTGTCCATGGAACTAGCACCCTGGAGTGTGGGTAGCACCTTGAGGCTTTGTCAGCTCCACACAACAGGAACCCTGAACTCAGCATCTGGGGCTCCTTTGCTCTGATGGAGGCAGCAGGACGCAGGCATCACACAGTGGGGGAGGCCACAGGGTATCAAGGTTCCTTAGGTGCTGCTTAAAAGAACATCTTCCACCTCTGTCCCTGTACCCTCATCCCACCATCATAGGCTGCTAGAAAGCCCCAATTAAAGCCCAGCCACAATCATTTCCATAGTGTGTGCATATGGCCTTGGGTTGTCTTCAGTGAGGAACCGATATTCTCCAGCTGCCACCCTGTTGAGCCTGTATTGTGTCTACATGCAGCCTCCATCACTGGATTACCCAGCTCACAGAGAGGACAGGCATGTAGTGGGGGAAGCCCAAATAGTGTTAAGCTTCAGAAATAAGACTTAAGTAGAAGGGGCCGTGTAGACAGCACGTTCTAGAGCATGCAAGGGGCCCAGATGTCATCTAGGAGATATGCAAACAGGAAAGGAGGTGAAGCGTAGGTCCCCAGTCCTTTCAGTCTATGTTTCCAGTACCACTCCTCACAAGGAACCCAGTCCAGAGAAGACCAGCTGAGGTTGCCCATCCTGGAGGAGGGACAGCCTGTTAGCCTGTCTTCTCCAGCCAAGCCACAGGAATGTGGCCAGAGCCCTGGCTGGAAAATCCCCTCCTCCCTCTGAACTTCCTCCTTAGGAGCAGGAAATTAAGGATGAGGACAGGAAGGGGCTTAGGGGGAGGTACCTTCCACCCTCTCTCCAAAGAGTAGTGAAAAATATAAGTCTGGTAATGGCCACTCAGCCAATAGCTTCTTATCTAAGTCCTGGGTGGTTTCCCCACAAAGTTTGAAAGTTCAGTCTCACGGAAACCCAGGGAAAGTATTTTCTGCCCAGCTCCAATCAGCCCACAGCACCATTCACCTCTGTCCACAAGAGACCCTCTCTTCCAAAGCTGTGCCCCTCCCTGGAATTATCTGAGCTTTATCTTAAGATGGAAGAAGAAACTTGCTTCCCAGTGTCACCCAGTAGGATTCATAAGCCTCGAGGAGTTATGGCAAAAGCCCCTAAACTCTCAGCCTGTCTCAGATGCTATGCCAGCTGACTGCACTGAAGCCTTCATCTGGCCAGGCCTAGAGCCAGTGAAAAAGCAAGCCTCAGAAATAAAAGGCCACAAAGTTAGGGGCCAGGCCTTCTCTTTCCTCTTTGAGGCCTCTCCATTTGCAGAGAACCTTTGAAATGTAGAACGTTACAATTTTGATAAGTGAGTCGTGGTCCAGTAGAGACAAGGGAGCAAAGGGAGCCCTCAGCCCTCCTAAGTGCCCTTAGTTCTGACAGTCTCTGCTGCTACAGCAGAGAGCAGCAACTAGCTCCCTGGCCTGGCCATCCATCCTGCTGGGTGACTGTCCTAGCCACCTGATTTATCAGGCTCATTCAGCAGGCTCTCCTTCTTTGGTGCTCCCAAGAGGAAGGGCCTGCCGCAGGCGCCACTCGGCGGGCACAGAGGGCCTCTGAATGGAATGTCGGGTGGGTGGGCCAACTAGGGTCAAGGTAGGGTTCTGACTGAGATGCCTCCCCTACTCAGCTCCTTAGACAGCTACTGACTGATGTTTATGTTCCTTTTCTTGTTCCAGATGCTCAGACAAGTGAGAACACCAAGGCCCCGGAGATGAAGTCCCGGAGACCCAAGAGCTCTCTTCCCCCTGTGCTAGGAACAGAGAGTAAGTGCCGCTTGGCTTCACCATACAAAGGCAGGAGTGGTGGCAGAGCCCCAGGCTTCTGGTCACCGGCTCCGTCCTGAACTCCCTGAGAAGAGGACAAGCTTCCGTCCATCTCCCACAACACCCTGTGTCCTCCTGATTGCCTTTTCTCAGCCCCTGGCAGTCTCTGTGCACGCCACCCAGAGCCTGGGCGTGTTCCACACATTCTTTATCTTCCTCGCCACAGCCCTCCCTACCTCCTGCCTCACCTTTGGTTGTCACTGAAACCCCTGTTCCTCTTCTTTAAGTTGATTCTGTCCTGCCAAGGGAACCTCCCTAAGTTGTTTCTCTGCCCTTATGACATCAACAGGAATTGTCCAATGGTCCCCAATGCTGATAGACACCCCCATGTGAGCCTCTTGTGTGTCCCTGGTACACAGGTGCGAGGCCATGTGTCACCCTGACTGCCACCTCTTTCCATGCTCTGTCCCACTCCCTTACAGCTAGTCCACACAGAGCTCCTCACCGAAAGGGAGCCTCATCTCCTTTCCTTGCGTGCCTTCGCCCTCACACTTCTCTCCATGGGCAGCTTTCTGGAAAACTCCCACCAGTGCCACCTCAGTAACTTTCCTGAGCATCCAGCATAGACTGACTCCTTCCTGGCACCATGGAGGATGTACCTGTATGTCCTCATATGTTCCCTGAAGGGCAGCCTGTCCCTCAGAATGGCATGCTGTGTCCATGGAAGAACCTCACTAGTGTCTTTCAGAGTGAGATTTCAGCATATCCGGAACAGCCAGGGAGAGAGGGCACAGCTGTAACCAAAACTGTGCACGGCTGCCTCCCTCCCTCCCTCATTCTGGGTCTGAGCTTCCCCCGTGACCAGCATCTCTAATGGGGTGCTTAGGGTATGTGTTGTTTTTCAGGCTTTCAAAAGCATGATTTGAAAAAGTGAACTGTTTCAAGATAGTATTTGAAATGCATCATATTAATTAATTCATCTTTATACCAGAGCAGTTGTAAAATATAACCTACATAATCAAAACATAATAACTATCAAATATAATTATATAATGATAGATAGACACAGAAGTACCGAAAGTCTTCCAAAGCCATAATACTGTTCGGCTCCTGCTGGGATTATTAGTAAGATTTTCTTAGCAGAACTACCCTCTGACAGTTCCAGTTTTTACAGGGCACATGGTTTCTTGGACAATCCCCAGAACACTTCTTAAGTTTTAAAATAAACAGAAAGCCACGCGTGATGCAGACTTGTACACCCAATATTTGAGAAGCTAAGGTGAGGCCAGCCTGGACTACATAGTGAGTTCCATGCCCATCTGGAATAGCGAGTGAAACTTTAAAAAGTAAGTTTAAGAAAAACAAAGCAAACAAAACCAGAAGATGATGATAGGCCTCGTTGTTCCGAAGACCACTTCTCTTTCTGTCGTAAGGCAGGGTTGCAGGGCTGCTTTATCCTTTGCTTTGTGAAGCTGTGTGTCTGCCTTGCTGCTGCTGAGCTCTCGGAACACAGCTAATCAGGCCGAGGGGTTGGAGGCCCTCAGCCTTCATGGAGGGGTAGCCAAAGTGAAGTTACAGTCTCTTACAGATGTTTACACAAAGTGAGATCCACTCAGACAGTGGAGGAGCCACAACTGTCAGAGTAGACTTTCATAAGCTGTTAAAAGCCCAGAAACAGGCGAAGGGGAATGAGTTAGGAGTGTTAGTCTCCAAACTGTTGCCTGGGCCTTGCTGTGCTGCCTATGGGTAAACACGAGTACATGAAGAAGAACAGTAGGGCCTCAGCGACACAGGCCGTGATAAGGAGGCTCTCCTGACAGAGGTCCAGCCACCGCCTGTCTTCAGGTCCGGAACCCTGTTCTGTGCAGGCCTGAGGAAGGTGAGGCAGGGTCAGAGGAGAACTGTGGAGGAGAAAAACAAGTGCTGTGAGGCTGGGAGACAATGAGCAGACCCAACCCTGGGCACTTTGCCCTGCAGAGCGGGAGGCCTCGGAAAACCCCGGCCAAGTTGTCACCCCCACACTGGCAGCTGCAGCTGCCTAGTAGGTTCACCTGGAGAACTTGGAAACCACTGTGCCTGGGCTGACCCCAGACCAATTAAACAGAAACGCTCAGATGGCAGCTGGATTTCCATGTTTGTTTATGTTCCTAGATCATCCCACTGTGTGGCCATACCAAAAAAAAAATAAAATAAAATAAAAATCAGCCTTTCAGTTAGACCTGGCCCCACTATCCACAGTTGGTTCAGAGCAGAAGGGGCTATGCCTGCTGCCTCTGTGAAGTGCGCAGACTCACCCAGGACCCTTTACTCTAGCGCCCTGAGAGCAAGACACCCTGCAGAGATAGCCTTTAGTGGAGGAAGAGAGTGGGGCTGGCGGGAAGTGTTTGTACTCCATGGAAAACACACAGTCACCACAGAGAGAACCCCACCCACCTGTCGACAAGCGGAGCTCCACTCCTCGGTGGTCCCCATCCCCCCTGATGGCTACTCTACCTCCCTACACTGGCTTGTCTACTCAGTCCTCACTCCCCTCAGCCCACTGGCACTGTGCATTAGGTTAAGGCTCTGGCTCCCCTCCGCAAGCATTCTTGTCCTTCAGAGGCCTAAGGGACACCACCAAGGCTGGTCCTTGGAGCCTTCTGACAAGGTGCCTGCCCAGGGACAGGAAGTGAAGGAGAGGTCTTTTAGATCTATATCCCAATTCATTTCTCCTTTGGGGTATAGCTTACTGTTGAGGAATTGTTCAAGTTATGTGAGCATGCGTTCTCCTGAGCATTTTAAAACACAGAAGAGCATACTAAGCATACTAAGAGCATACTAAGCATACTAAGCATACTAAGCATACAATGTGAAAATCCTCTTCTTACCCCTATTTCATTTAGGCACCCATTTGCTTTGTTCTGTGCACTTTATATGTATGTAAATACCCAAACACCTCCATGACAAGGGCTTTTCCTCCCTGTAGAAATGGAATCACACAAGTAGTCTTTATGCCCCCATTACATACCATTTCTATTAGCATTATTAGCCTCATTCTCAGACATGCTGGATTCCATGAGGGGTCTGTCTCCGGACACATGTGTGGTTTTGTCAAAGCTGTGAAGTACCTAATCTAAGAAGGAAATTTATTTTTCCTGGGGAAAGGGTGAGTGACTTTCCTGTCAAACAGAGTATAGCCAGACCCCTCTCTGTGCGCCCTTCTGTCCCCAGGGGTGGTTTATTCCTATGAGCCAGCTGTTAGGTGTAGGAGTGGACAGTGCTGACCACACTTGCCTGGGAGCCTCCCCCCCACACCACCCTGTAGCATGAGGAAGAAGCCAGAAAGTCAACCCCCAGCCCCCCAAGACTGAAGTACTCGTTAACCTGCCAGTCACCTAGGTCATAAGCCACAAACATGGGAGGAAGTTTGGGAGGGTTTGAGGTGAGGAAAACTCAGAAGCAGGTTTTGAAGGAGGGAGAGGAATGTAGTTTATGTGGCTTGGAGAGGAATGATAACATTGGCAGGGGGAGAGAGGCAGGCGGGAGCTTGGGGGAGAAACTGCGCAGATGCTGAAGGGAATGTTGGAAGGACAGCTGAGTCAAACAAAAGCCATGTTCTGAGTTCCTGTGCACAGGCATCCTGTCTTACAAACTCGTGTTGCTCCCACTTTATAGGGAAGCAAAACCGAGCCTTAGGGATGAAGCTGTCCTGGCTAGCGTCTCCTAGCTGGGAAGGAATGGAACTGTCGTGGTCTGTCTTCCTGCCACATCCTCTTTGGCCTTGCCGTAGACTTGGCTTTGCCCTGCACTGTCCACACAAACACAGGAGAGCAGTTCTCTCCCCAGCCCAAAGAGACAGTGTGAGGAGGTGGGTGGCAGAGGTGGCAGATCCTGGAAGGAGACAAAGGAAGGGCACTGACCTGTGAACATGGCTCTAAAGACCTGGCAGTGTGTTTGCCACGTGCCTTTCAATGGGACTTTTAAAATAGACATTTTTATATTATTTTCAAAGCTACAGAAAAGTTACAAGAACATTTTCAAAGTTACAGAAAAGGTACAATAACGGTGCAAAGAACTCAATCCTCCCTTTACTTCAAAGCCACTGGCTGTTTACGTTTTATCCCATGGTTTTATCATTTTCTGTGCATATATTTATAAATTTTCACTCAGGTAAATACCATTTTTAATCAGAGTTACCATATACTTAATTTCTTACTCATTGTGTGTCTCCTAAGAATATGATTATAATTGTTGGAATCAGGAAATTTGTCATTGAACCAATATTGCTATCTAATCAGTCCACAGTCTACTCTCCATTTTTGTCAGCTTGGCCCAGTAATGTCTTTTATGTTTATTTGCTCTTCTTGGTAAAAATCTTATATCAGCATCCCTGGAATACTTTACCTACTCCCTCAGCACAGAAATGGTTCCTCTTGTTATTTTGGAAATAAAACAGGGGGAAGTTCACAGGCCCAGAGAGAAGCACTCCAGGCTCTGCCTGAGCTGAGCTAGCCACTGAAGGACAGGGTCACACCAGTGAACCCCCATGTGTCTAGAAGCTGGCTCACCCTGACCGCTTCCAGGGGATTGCTCAGACACAGAGCAGAGTAAGAAAGCCAGGAGGCTGCAGAGCAAGAAACGGAGGCCTTGGTTCTTCCACTAATTAAACACATAGCTTTTCTCAAAGCCCTTCATCCCGTTAGAACTCAGCATCCAATGGACACCTTCCATGGCTGGTCTCAAACCTTGCCCAGCTGTGACATCAGGCCACTGGTGGAGAGATGTGAGGAGCACAGTTCAGGTGAAGCTGGCTGATTCTCCCTACCGCCTGTGAGCACAGGCGCCTGAAGCTGTAGAAGCAAAGTTGGGGTCACACAGTGATGAGATCATCCTGTAGGGAAGGTGGCCTGGAGCCTAAAGCCCCACTTTGGGGTGCTCCTTTTGGAAGGGCCTCTCAATAGCCAATGGAATTCTTGGGAGTTTTATGTAGAGGAAGGCAAACATATTACTCGGCTGAAGGA